TTTCCAGATTGACCAATCTCGAGAGGTTTTATTTGTCAAACAATTCACTTTCCGGTGAAATCCCATCTTCTCTCGGCGAAATCCCCCGTTTGGGTCTTCTTGATTTGTCTAGAAATAACCTCTCTGGTTCTATTCCAGAGGCTTTGGCGAATCTTTCCCAGTTGAGAAAATTGCTTCTTTATGCCAACAATCTCTCCGGCACCATCCCATCAAGCCTCGGAAAATGCACCAACTTGGAGATTTTGGACCTTTCGAGCAATCAAATTTCAGGGGTTCTTCCCATTGAAGTTGCAGGATTGAGAAGCTTGAAACTCTATTTGAATCTTTCAAGCAACCATTTACATGGGCCTTTGCCATTGGAGCTTAGCAAAATGGACATGGTCCTTGCTATTGACTTGTCCTCCAACAATCTCTCAGGCCCAATTCCATCGCAGCTTGGAAGCTGCGTTGCGCTTGAAAGCCTCAATCTTTCTGATAACTCCTTTGATGGGCCTTTGCCTGTTTCAATCAGCCAACTTCAATATCTCCGAACGCTCGATGTTTCTTTCAATAAGCTTTCAGGGAAAGTCCCAAACAAGGGGGTGTTTTCATGGCTGACAATATCATCTTTCCAAGGGAATAATGGTCTATGTGGGTCGATCAATGGGCTACCAAAATGCAGGGAGAAACACAAGCGCCGTATACTGTCGATTCTCATGTCTTCTTCAGCAGCTTTTGTGTTCTGCATGATTGGGATCTCGTTTGCAGCTGTGAGAACAAAAATGAGAGAACGATTTGCAGTTTTCAACAAAAGGGATTTAGAAGAAGCTTATGAAGAACAAGAAACAGAGAGAAAAGAAACGAAGTACCCAAGAATCTCATACGGGCAGCTAGTGGAAGCCACCGGCGGATTCAGCTCCTCCAGCCTAATTGGGTCGGGGAGATTTGGAGATGTGTACAAGGGAACTCTGCCAGACAACACCAAAATCGCTGTCAAAGTTTTGAATCCATTAAGAACAGCAGGGGAAATTTCAGGGAGTTTTAAAAGAGAATGTCAAGTTTTGAGAAGAACAAGGCATAGGAATTTGATGAAGATTATAACGACTTGCAGCCGGCCGGATTTTAAGGCTCTTGTTCTTCCATTGATGTCGAATGGGAGCTTGGAAAGTCACCTGTATCCAAGGCAGGGGGAAGGACCCAGTTGGTATAAGATTGATTTGGTTCAAGTGGTGAGCATTTGCAGCGATGTGGCTGAAGGAGTGGCGTATTTGCACCACCATTCGCCGGTTAGAGTGGTGCATTGTGACCTTAAACCTAGTAATATTCTTCTTGATGAGGACATGACTGCTTTGGTCACTGATTTTGGCATTGCCAGATTAGTGAGCGGTGGAGACGACAATCATGATAATGACAATCATGGTGCTGCTTCTCAACAAGATTCAGCTTCCTTCAGTTCGACTCATGGCTTGCTTTGTGGGTCTGTCGGTTACATAGCTCCGGGTAAGCTTACTAAATCCACTGCAAACAAACCCAGTTGATATTGTGTTCTTTTGTGCGGTTGCATGACGAGCAGATATTGTCTTCGTTAGCCTGTTCCTTTGAGTTGAATTTTTTCTTTTGAGCTTCTTCTCAAACTTTTAAAACGCGTTTTCACAATCCACTCACTTCAGAGCCCAGCGTCTGTGCGGACACTTGTTTCTTCTCCAATTGTTTCTTCTCCAATCAACGTGAGACCCCTCAATCCACCCTCTTCGGGATCCAGCGTCTTCGCTGGCACATCGTCTAGTGTCCACCTCCCTTCAGAGTCCACCTTCCTCGCTGACACATCATCTGGTATTTGGCTCTGGTACCACTTGTAACCGTCCAAGCCTACAACTAGTCGATATTGTTCTCCTTGAATTTTTACACCACTAGTAGTTATTGTCTCTTTGATTTTTCCCTTCCCATCAAAGTTTTAAAATGAGTCAGTTATTTTTTTGATAAGTAGTCCAAAACTGATAGTACTTCTCTAAATTTGAACGTAGAGTACGGACTAGGAAAACGGGCGTCAACAGAGGGGGACGTGTTCAGTTACGGGGTGCTTCTGTTAGAACTCATAACAGGGAAGCGTCCAACAGATCACTTTTTCGCGCAAGGAGCAGGGCTGCAGGGATGGGTCAAAAGCCAATACCCAGATAGGCTGGACCCCATAGTGGACGACGCAATGGACAGATACTGCAGGGCGGCAGCGGCGGCGGAAGGAGGGGCAAGGCCTTGCAAGCGGCTATGGCGAGAAGTGATAGTGGAGGTTATAGAAATGGGGCTGATGTGTACTCAGTTCAGCCCCGCAATGAGGCCGACCATGGTGGATGTGGCTCAAGAAATGACGCGTTTGAAGGAATATCTCTCGCATTCCTTGTCCTCTCTGTATACGAGACGGTGACGGCAATGAGGCGGAGCATGGTGGTGGTGGTGGACTACATCCATGGCGGTTCCTCTCATCTGTAAATGAAGGTTGCTGATCCATTGTTTTCAAATATGGTGTCATCAACTCAAACTAATTCGTTTCGTTATTAGATTTGTTTGTTATCTTGTAATTTAAGATGTATATGGGAATACATTTTTCCTTTATGTAATTTTTGTGTTGTTCTTGGGTGCCTTTCATAGGGAATATTTTGGATCAACTAGCTTCTCCAAAATGTCTCATATACTAATAAATATAGTATTCTTTGATTGAATTGATTATAACTCAAGATCAATTCTCTAAATTAGCTGAAGTGGACTTTCATCATCCAACATTAACATTTACAACAATAGAATTTATAATACATATTAAGTTAATAATTAAAATGATACGAAGTAGTCGTAATATAAATGTTATTTACAAAAGTTAGATATTCTTAATTTTCATAATAATTTATAAATAGGGTTGGATTGAGTTGTAACTTTATTTTTAGTTGGTCAAGTTCACCAAATTAAAAAATGTCGGGACAAAAAATTTCCATTTTTAAAAAATTCAACCCAACTCAAATCAAGAAAAGAAAATATAACTCAACCAATAATATCATGATTGACTGAATTCTCATAATCATATAAATATACCCCTACTTTTAAAATATTGAAGGCAATGAAGATACGTCAGATACAAAATTCAAAATTGAAATCTCGGAGTAATTATTCACTTTGTGTTCCTAAACTAATATTAAGTAAAAAAAAAAAAAAAAAAAAAAAAAAAAAAAAAAAAAAAAAAAAAAAAAAAAAAAAAAAAAAAAAAAAAAAAAAAAAAGAATACAAATGCAAAATAACAACAATAATCCACGTGTGTGTAGTTAAGGAGGAATAGTGGAATTTAGCCAACCCAAGTTGGAGTGCAAATTTTGAATTTTGATGGGCTTTCATATCATAAATAGATAACTCTCCTTGGTTAGGTCAACAACTTCAGACTCAAGATCCCTTTTGGTTTATCCCTAAATTTTGATGAACAATCCAAGATATCGAGGCCCATGTCACTGTGATAATACAACAAATTTCAAAGATAAAAAGAAATTCTCAACTTTAGAAGTGTAAACTGAGTTATGATGGAGATATTGAAGTAAATGTCATCCATGAGGTTGCTATCATGGAGAGACATGACAGTTCTACCTACCTCTTTGGGTTTGCTACACAAATCTATAATGGGTAGCCTTTCTTATTGTCAGTGGAATGAGCATTGTGCAAAATTTGATATCATTTGCACCTACTTTAAAGCTCTACTGGATTATATCTATTTTTCCAGTACTCATCATCTTCTATTTCTCAACCAATTGTCTTTTGCTTAAAGGTTCATTATGTAAGAACCTTCCACCATTATCTCCAGAAAGATCACCAGACATGCCCCATTTCAAGTTGGAAAGAGTGCAATGATGAAGTTTGAATCTATATGATCATGTCTATTCTGGTGTTGATTCTCATCTAGAGTATGTGTAAGAACTCGTGCACGAAGTCAACTCACCTGTAAACAACTTAAGTCCACCGTTGACAGATATTGTCGTTTTTAGACTTTTCCTTTCGGATTTTTCCTCAAAGTTTTTAAAACGTGTCTGGTAGAGAGAGATTTCCACACCAATCTATGTGAGATCACAATCCATCTACTTCAAGGCCCCGCGTTCTCGCTGGCAATAACTCTTCTCTCCAATCGACTTGAGATTTCACAATTGGTTGGAGAGGAGAACGAAACATTCTTTTTAAGGGTGTGAAAACCTCTCCCTAGCATACACGTTTTAAAAACTTTGAGAGGAAGCCCGAAAGTAAAAGTCTAAAGAGAACAATATCTGCTAACGGTGAGCTTGGGTTTAAACGGTTGCACAAAATTTTCCTCAAAAAACTTAATTGGTTACCACATAATTGCAACACAGAGATAAATTAGGCCAATGAGCTAAAGATATATTGGTTGACTAACCTTGTCAAAAAGTCAAAATAATGACATAAAAAAGTTAACCAAATGAATAGGGTCGTGTTGGATGCTGTTGTAGAGGATATATCTTATGTACTTTTGTTGAAAAAGTTGGTTCCTCCAAGTAATAGACTTCATTTCAATGACAGAACGATTGTGATTTGAATGTTCCCTTCAATACTTTTTAAAACATAGATTTGTATTCTAGTGGAATCTTACCTAACTCAAAGAGTTTGTAGCTAGATAAGATTGCAACGATACGACGACTCAAAATCTACGACGAGATGAGAAATTAACCAATGACGATGCAACTCGTGCTCAAAGCGAAAATGTGGTAGAATAGAGTTTGTTGAGTGCAGATATGCATCAGAAGTTGACTTCCTTTACAAGTCTTCTCATTCACACTTAACTTGTTAATCAAACTTTGTTCTATGTTAAATCTTAACACAAGAACTAGAATATTACGGTCCAAGCTAATGATATGGTTTGCTTTCGCCTATTATGTATTGCCGTCAGTCTCACTGTTTTAAAACGCGGTTATTATTAGGGAGAGATTTTCACACCCTTATAAGAATTATTTTGTTCCCCTCAAACCGATGTGGGATCCCACAAACTACTTCAACAAGATTTGTTCTAATAGGTTATACATTTGTGTCTTTGAATTCTATGGAGCCAAGAATCGAAATCTGGAGGATGAGCCACTACCCTGTGGCTAGAGTGTGAGATTAATGGCTCAACGGGCTTCGGTCCTGTGGCTGTAGAGGATCGTTCTTGGTAGACTATGTTCTGCTAGGTTGGTTGCAAGGCAGTGTGAAAGACTTTAAATACTTTTATTGTGAGATCCTATATCGGTTAGAGAGAGAAACGAAGCATTCCTTATAAGGGTATGGAAACCTCTCCTTAGCAGACGCATTTTAAAATTGTGAGACTGACAGGATACGTAACGGGTTAAAACAGACAATATCAGCTGGCTTTTGAGTAAGGGGAGATTCTGATTCAATCTTTAAGAAACTATTCCAGACTGACCATGAAGCTCAAGAACAGGAAACGTTGACTCATCATTGTATCTGTAATCAAATTTAGAGATTGTTTTTACACTTACAGCAGATCTAAACTCTTTCACCACAGGATTTGGACCTAACTGAGGCAAACAACATGGTATACTGAGTTTTTGGTCAAGTGGAAGTGATTAATTAATTTAAGTGTAAAGTTCAAAAGTGGAGATAATCATTATGCTGGAAGATGATACAAAGAACTTCTATGATTCTCCACTTAGTACATAATCTACAATCTATATTGCTAATTCCATCTGAATGGTAGGTTAAAAGAGACATTAAATTATGTTGGCAGCAATACTCTCATGTGCTGCTTTTTGGATATTGTCTGGGCAACAGATTGGTTGAAGATCCGTTCATAACCTGATTTCATTGCAAATAAAGTGGCTTTTCAATTTGGTGATGACATTATTTAGGTTCTAATATCAGTTTTAAGCTGACTTTCTTAAGAACACATTACCAAACTGCTAAATCATTTGGTGTATAATCAGCAACCTTCATGTTTGGCAGGACCAGGTTCTGGAATCCACAATGATAAAGAGTTTGAGAGATGCTCCTTTAAACGTTTCATTTCGTGAGCTACGTTGACCATGCTTGGCCTGGACGATGGAGTGTACTGTGTGCACATGATACCGAGCACGATCAACTCGAATAGAATTTGACATTGCAGTTTGGGAGATTGTTCTGCAACGTTTGGCGTTGGAAGGTCATATCTTTCCATTGCTTCGTTGGCTATATCTTCAAGCTTGTGAGGGTAGTGGCTTTTTACCCATTCATGCAGGCCTGAACCTTGTTGGAAATGATGATCAGTTGGACGCTTTCCTGTCACAACTTCTAATAGAAGAACTCCAAAACTAAACACGTCTCCTTCAGTTGAAGGACGTTCTCCTATTCCATATTCTGCATTCCCAAATGCAAACAAAAATGTTAATAAGATTAATTCTCATCATAGCCTCCAATGGAACAAAGTTTTTGTAACTGTCCAAGTTCACCAAGTCCACCGATGGTAGATATTGTCTGCTTTGGTCCGATATATATCGTCGTAAGCTTCATAGTTTTAAAACCCGTCTAATAGAGAGAGGTTTCCACACCCTTACGAGGAATGCCTCGTTCCCCTCTCAAACCGATGTGGGATCTCACAATCCACCCCACTTGGGGATTCAGCGTTCTCGTTGGCACACTGCCCGGTGTCTGGCTCTGATGCCATTTGTAACAGCCCAAGCCCACCGCTAGCAGATATTGTCTGCTTTAGCCTGTTATATATCGCCATCAGTCTCACAGTTTTAAAACGCGTCTGCTAGGGAGAGGTTTCCACCCTTGTAAGAAATGTTTCGTTCTCCTCTCTAACTAAAGTGGGATCTCACAATCCATTCCCCTTGGGGGTCCAGCGTCCTCGCTGGCACACCACCGCCCGGTGTCTGGATCTGATACCATTTGTAACAACCCAAGCCTACTGCTAGCAGATATCCCGTCAGCCTCACGATTTCAAAACACGTCTGCTAGGGAGAAGTTTCTATACCCTTATATGGAATGCTTCGTTCCACTCTCTAACCAGTATGGGATCTGACAGTTTTGTGTTGAGTTGAAATGGACGGGGTTATTCACCTGGAGCTATGTAGCCAACAGACCCACATAACAAACCATGAGTTGAACTGAAGGAAGTTGACTCGTTTCCATAAGAAGAAAGATTGTTAGCTTCTCCTCCCCCAATGATCAGTCTTGAAATTCCAAAATCAGTGACCACAGCAGTCATGTCATCGTCAAGAAGAATGTTGCTTGGTTTAATATCACAATGCACCACTCTAACCGGTGAGTGGTGATGCAGATAGGCCACACCTTCAGCCACATCACTGCAAATCCTCACCATTTCAACCAAATCTAGCTTATGAATACTCAATCCTAACCCATTAGGATACAGATAGTTTTCCAAGCTCCCATTTGACATCAATGGAAGAACAAGAGCATTGAAATCTGGTCTGCTACAAGTGGTTATAATCCTGATCAAATTTCTATGCCTTGTTCTTTTCAGCACTTGACATTCTCTTTTAAAGCTTCCTGAGACATCACCTGCTGTTCTTATTGGCTTCAAAACTTTGACAGCAATCATTGTCTTATCTGGTAGAATTCCTTTGTAGACTTCCCCAAATCTTCCTGTCCCAACCAAGCTGGAAGAGCTGAAACCATCAGTAGCATCCACCAGTTGTCTGTACGAGATTCTTGGATATTCCACCTCCTTCCAATCTGTAGTTTGTTGTTCATATTCTTTCGAACGCCTCCGATTCAAACCGAAACGTTTCATTCTCGTTTTCGACCGGAATACGAAGACAATCCCAGTAATGAAAAGTACAAAAACTGCCAAAGAACACAACAGAATTGGCAACAACTTATAGAGCTTATGTCCTTCCCTGCACTTAGGCAAGCCTTTGATTGAGCCACAAAGACCATTATTACCAAGGAAAGAAGACAATGTCAGCCATGAAAACACCCCATTGTTTGGAACTCGACCTGAAAATCTGTTAAAAGACAAGTTGAGCTGCTTGAGAGTTGAAGATGTCTGAATACTGTCGGGAATGTTTCCAATCAATTGGTTGAAAGAAACATCAAGCGTTTGAAGATAAGGCATTTGGCCAATGGAAACTGGTAAAGACCCATCAAAGGAGTTGAAAGATAAATTGAGGTACTCCAGTGCTATGCAGTTCCCAAGCTGGGATGGAATTGGGCCAGAGAGATTGTTGAAGGACAAGTCAATGGCAAGCACCATGTCCATTTTGCTAAGCTCCCATGGCAATGGTCCATGTAAATGGTTTCTTGACAGGTTCATATAAAACTTCATGGTCCTCACAGCAATTTCACTAGGAATAACACCAGAAATCTGATTGCTGGAAAGATCTAAGAAATCTAAATTGGTACATTTTCCCAAACTTGGTGGGATTGTTCCTGAGAGCTTGTTTCCATAAAGCCATAGCTGTCTCAACTGTGAAAGATTAGCCAAGGTTTCAGGAACAGAACCAGACAGCTCGTTGCTTGAAAAATCAATATAACTCAAAGGCTGAATCTCACCAAGAGAAAGTGGGATTTCACCAGAGAGTAAATTCCTGGAGAGGTGAATATTAACAAGCTTCCTTAATCTTCCAACCTCAAAAGGAATGGTTCCATTCAAAACATTACCAGACAAGTTCAAAACAGTAAGGTTTGTGAGGTTTAGAATGGAAGGAGGAATTGAGCCATGGATGAGATTATCATTCAAATGAATCTCTGAGAGATTGACATGAAGATCACCAATAGTAGAAGGAATTTCTCCACCAAGATGATTGCTAGCTAAACTAATCTCTTGAAGCTTTGAAGAATTGGAGAAAGAAGCAAAAAACCGCTTAAGATTTGAGTTCCCATCATGGCTCACAAATTCATTGTCAGACAAGTAAACATACACCAAAGATGGCATATTCATAACAGGCAACTCCCCACTCAGCTTATTTGACCCCAAATCCAGCCATTTCAACTTCGTTGAGTTCAAAAGAGCTGCTGGAACACGACCCTCCAGCTTGTTAGACCATAGCAGAAACTCCACCAAATCTTTCAGCTCACACCCATCGTTCGAAGGTATCTTCCCACTTAAAGAATTGTTCGACAGGTCAATATACCTCAATGGAGAGGTCGACCCATTACAGAACAGCAGCTCAGGAATCTCCCCTTCAAGCCTGTTGCCACCCAAATTAAGATACTGCAATTGGTTAAGATTTTGAAGCTCTGTGGGGATTTTTCCTGTGAGTAAATTCCCTTTTAAGGCCAGTTGCTGAAGATGAACCAGAGAACCCAATTCCTTGGGGATTTGACCTTCAAAGAAATTCTCAGATAAATCAAGAATCTCCAAGGAAGAAAGATTGGAAAGAAACGGAGAAATGGTGCCTCCAATCGAGGAAGCAGAAAGAATAATGGAAACAACTTGGTGGGTGCGATTGCTGCACTCAATCCCCGTCCAGTTACACAAGTGAAGCTTTGAATCTAAACTCCAATTTTGAAGATGGTTTTTTGGGTCAGAGGAAACCCCATCTTTGAAAGCAAGCAATGCCGCTCTGTTGTGATGGTTGTCTTCAAGGCTGCCAAATGCTCCATTGAAGAGAAGAAAAATAAAGCACAGAAAAGGGAGCTCGCAAAGACCCCCCATTGATGAAACAGAGACAAAAGGGTTTCACGAGGAGATGAGTTGGAGGAGGAGCAGTGTCAATTTATTTGAAAATTTTGGGGCCTAACCGCCGTTGACTAGTGGATGATCACTTGGCGCCAGTGGGCTTTGACTTTTGAACTTTTGACCAATTGGATTTTATCACGTGTGAACAATTTTAAAAAGAGGTGGATTAAATTTAGATTAAGCATATCAAATGTCCTCTGATTCAAATTACTTTGAGACTAATTAATCATGATTATTAATCCACATTGTAGTAAAATAATAATAATAATAATAATAATAACCAATGGTATTGTAATGTTTATTAATTTAAAAGATATTATTTAGATTTAGGGTTTTGTCAACCGAATCATAATCCCAATACAAATGTGTCGTTTCTTGGAAATGGGCTATTGGGTTGGGATGCATTGCCACTTCTTAAAGTTCATAACACCTAATTTTCTTTTCTTTTCTTTTTTAAATAAATAATAATAAAAAAGAGTCCATTTTCTCACATTATTTATATTTTTTTTACGTGAAAATCGTGTGCCCTTGTGAGGTTAAAATGCATAGTCCGAACTTGTCGACAAAAATTTCCCATTATTTTATAATAAGAATAATTTTATAAAGTTTATTTATTGAAGTAAAAAAACTATTTATTATTATATTGCCTTTTTTTTTTTATTTAATTTATTTAAGGTTTATGTTTTAAGAACCAAAGTTGTTTGGGCTATCGCGCAAGCCTATTGGGCTGTCTGGATGGGCCTGACTAAAAACTGGGCTAAACTTTATTATGGGCCTCAGATGCCAAGCCCATTAATATTGACATCAACTGAAATCATTGCAGAAGCATGTAGGGATAACATGATGAATTTTAAGTTTAGAACAGTTATCTTTTGTTAATTTCTTTTATAAATTATGAAAATTTCGATTCACCCACCATGTCGGTATCGAACCCATAAACATACAAAAACATTTGACATATCGACGAAAATTTTGAATTTTTTTAATTATTATTAAGTTGATATGATCGATATTTATGAAATTAGGTTGGGTGCTTAGGGTTATGAACAAAATGGTTTACTCGGCTCCAGGTGAAGAGTTATACGTGATTTTGTGTCTTTTCAAGTGACTCTACATTAGTCGAAAATGCAACCCAAGTCTCACATTCGCTGGATAATAGAAGGATCGTGCATATTTAAGAAAGAACACAACTATCTCTAAGGATACGAAATTAGATGAAGAAAAAAGTCATAAGGTCCATGCCCAAAGTAGTCAATATCATACCATCGTGAAAATACAAAGAGGGTCGTTGTCTCTTACATGAAGAAATCGGCGTCTCATCTCACATATAAAACGAAGAACTGTAGGACAAACACAACTGTATTTCACAAAAGAATTAGAGGCAAATGAAGAAGTAACTACATAGATTTCTGCTAAAGACATGCTGCTTCACTCCTGTCATGTACTGATTTATATACAGTATAGAATCTGTTCTATACACTCTTTTATACATTCTATGAACTCAAATCCAACGCATACTAAATCAGAATATCATCATTAAATCTCAGTCAAAACCGAAACTCTTTTGTTAAGCTTCTCACGGCTGTAGGCTGCTGCTGTCAAGCTAGAACAGAACACAGTGCTTAATCAAAACCAAAAGTACACCATTGCCTGTCCATTCAAAATATGGTCTTTTTCAGTATATATTATCAATGGTTTTGCATCTTAATGGATAAGGAAAGGAGAGTATAGGCTATACCTCTTGCAGAAGGTCGAACATCGAGTTATCCGGTTCCGGGCGCTGCTCGATTTTCAAACTTCTCATCTCAGATTGAATAGAATTCAGCTGTTCTTGTATCTCCTTCAGCAGTTTCATCTCTTCCACCTTTGCACTACTAATCTCTTGCCTTATACTGTCTATATTCTGTTCGAGCTGATACGTTGCACGACAAAGTTGCTGAAAAGGTTGAGATTCAGCAACGATTTCGTCGATTTGTTCCTGAACAGGAATCGTGCTGGAACCTACAGCTTTTACTTTCCTTACTTTTGATGATTTGTTCTTCTGGCTTTTGCAACTAGAAGCTTTCTTTGTTCTGGCTTGCTCCACATCTTTATGGTGCTGTTTGAATGGTTCAATCAGTACTGGGTCTGGCTTTCCTAGTCGATTTTCGCCTTCGAAAATCGACTTCTCCTGTGGTTGGATCCGAGTTTGACAAGCTTGGTTCGCCTCTGGGATCTCGAAAATATCTTGAACAGTTGACAAACCACAACTTTTGGGGCTTACTACAACATCAGGATGATCTTGAATCCTTGAATGGCCAACAACACTCCCACCATTCAAACTTTTGGATCTATCTTCACCACTCCCTTTAGAATCAGATATCTCTTTTATTTGTTCATCTAACATCTCGATCGGTTTCGACGAACAGCAGTTCGAACGTTCCACGATACTCGGGCAGCAATCCGGTGTAAGAATCTCAAATCTCTCCATTTCTGCAACAGATTTTCTATAATACAATTCATCAAGTTGAGTCAGAGGCAGAGACTTTGCTCTTCTCACATAGCCACTTACACCAATTTCTCCATTAGTGACTCCATTAGTGACTCCATTAGTGACCAAATCCTTGTTTTGAAGCAAGAACTTATCAGCAAATCTGGGCTCACAAGAACCCAAATCAGGGCAATCCAAGCTCAAGAGTTTATACCTATAAGCCTGGACTTGAAATTCAAGAGAAGCGATTTCCATTTCTTTTTGATATATCATATCTTCAAAACCAGCAAGATACTCTTCAGTATGGCAAAGCTTTTCCTCTGCCATTCTTTGATATTGACTTGCTTCCATCTTCAAAGCAGCTTTTTCTCCTTGCAAACGCAGAATCATCGATAGGGCTTCACTTGCTGCAGTGGCTGAGGCTTCTCGTTCTTTATCAAGCTCTGAATAAAGCGTCTGTAGGAGCTGTTGACCACCTCCATGCCCTTCTTTTACACGTTCCATCTCAGTTTCTGAACCACTTTCCGCCATTGAAGCCTCCCTGAAGTAGGCTCTGCTAATCCAAATAATCCTCAACCAAAGACCGAGATGGGTCGATCTACAATCGCTCGAATCATAAATACAAAAGAAATGAACATCAGAAACGAGTTGCAGAGAGGGTTTCGTGCAAGAAAATAAACTAAAAGGAAAAGAAAACTCCAATGAAATCAAACCGTCTAATAATTTCCTAAAACCAGGCTAAATGGGTTGCTTCTTTCAACCTTTTTGTTAATGATTTACCAGAAACAAGCTAAAGGGGTCTTTAGTTCGCCGATTTTGTTAACGATTTCCACTAAACAGTCGTTTCGAATTTCAAAGGTTTTGAGAACAGAGATCTAAGAAAACCGCCATGAAAGAGAAGAACAAGACGATGAACTCACCAACAGGAATTGCAGCGATTTTCAGGGGGGAAACCAAGTCGAGAATATGTAGAGAGGAAGAAAGAGAGTGAAAAATTACAAGAATGAAAGCCAAATCAGAGTCCACTCGATCATTGAATAAGAAAACGGCGTTTATGGACGCTACAGATCAGAGGAGGGAGCGCTCTGATATGGACAAGCGTGGGATTTGCAAGAAAATGGATACCCACAATTTAAATTACTGTATATATTTTAAAGTTTTTTTGATTTATACAATAAAGATATTTTTATTTGTCCCAAGGGGCCAACGGCATTGCTTCGCTTTGTAGGCAAAAGCAAGCATGTTCTTGAGTTATTTTTAAAATGGCTACCACACGCGTTTTAGACCCATCAAGATTATGGCGTCGAAAACTCCTGGCCACCACACGGGTTCTAGACACATCACCATTTTGTGAATAATATTTTTTCTTCATTGTCCAAATTTCTAACCTATATTCATTAAATTTACTTTATTCTGAATATAAGAAATTATTTCTGATAGGTTTATATCATCGTTATGATGATATAATATCATCACTAGTTCACTAGGGTCAAGTTCATTATATATATATATATATATATATATATATATATATTAGGAAAATAATTTAGGTATTTTAAGAATAAATTGTTTAGTCTCCGTTGTAAATACCCTTCCACTGCCACTAGTACCAAGGTTTTCATTCCAAGAATTTCCAAGCAGTGGCAAGTAGTAAAGTATAGTAGTATTTTACGTAATATTTTTTCTATTAATGTCAATAAACAGTGCAAGTGTTTCTCACAAAACATTGTGTTCAACATATGATACTAGATGATATAATAACATAACCTCTATCTATCTCTACAATAATACGATATTATCAACTTCGTGCATAATATTTTGACTTTGCTTTTGGTTCACCCAAAAAACCCTAATACTATTGAAGATAATTATTTTTATTTATATACTAATAATCATTGATTTTTTCTAATATTAAATTTATTTGAGCTTAAATCCACTTTCGATCTCAACTAATTTTTTTGATAAAATTAATTTTAACATTCAACGAAGAAAAGATTTGAATTTTTTTAATAACGAAAATGATATTAATATCATACCTTTTAAACGAGTATGATAGTAATTCGAGTTTGAAGTTGGTGACAATGGGAGAATTAAGAGTTAATAGATTAGAAGGAGAAAAAGTTTTTGCCATTAATTTCAATACAAAAGTCAATATATGATTAATAATATACACAAAAATAAAAAAATAAAAAAATAATAATAATAAAAAGTAAAAGTAGTGATTTTAAGAGGAAAATAAACAAAAGTGCCGTCTTATCTTGAAACCAAACACGGCAACTCCCAATAAAGAAATAAATAAAACTCTTTATATCTATTTTAATACTCTAATTTTTTTTTTTTCTTATTCAATATTAATTCACTTAATTGTCTTTGATGAATTATTTTTTAAATAGATATTAATGATTTTTCATCCATATAAAATAGTATTTTTGAAATAAAATATTAAAAAAATTTAAGCCAAATTATAGATATTTTCTATAATTTAACTTAATAATTTTCTAAAATCATTAAAAATGCACTATCGATTAATAGTCATAATTACTGGACTCTTTTATAAATTTTCAAAATTAAAAAACAAGAATCTTCATTAAATCAAAATCAGACCGACCGGTTCGACTCACAGTCCGTATCCATTACTCAAATTTGACAACCATAGTTCCAAGGGGGACAAAATAGTTGCTTTTTCATAGGGACACAAAAAAAAAAGACACCGAGGATTGGAAAGAGTTTTTCAAAAGGTCGTTATCCGTTGGTGGTAATGGCCAACGGTTATAATACCGCCCAATTCTAGCGTGCCACGGTGGGCTCCCCTCATAGCCGACCAATCCTTGTGGTCTTTAAAAATTTAATAATACCAAAGGAATGATACCCGTCCATAATTTTGTTCCCTTCTTCCTTTTATTTATTTATTTATTTATTTATTTTTAAGCTTTATTAAGAATATTTTTTATATTTGGTGGGTTTTCAATTCTAATATTTGACTTTTTTAATAAATTAATAAATGTAAATATGAATTTCCACGTAGTTGGAGTACGCTGAAATGTAATTTATGATAAATTATTAAATGAGACTGTTATAATATAACTGTTTCGTAATATCTATTTAATATTTTTAAAATAAAAAAAAATGTGCAGCAAAAGACAAAGCAAGAAAAGTGGGCCAAGTTAGTTTTGGGCCCATTTAGGGAACATGGGCTTCAAGTTATTTAAAAGCCCATATCGGTTATGTTCCCGTTGGCAGATGTAGAGATAGGAGGCCACGTGTCGTTTATGCAGGACGACACGTAGGTTTTGCAATTCCCTATGGAGTCTGAGCAGTGCAATTACGGAGGCTTCCAAATTAAAGAAAATAAAAATGAATGGTACAGAATGACAGAGGCAGCCGTTGCATTGTGGCTTTGCAATTAAAATGTGTATGGTATCCGATGTCTATCTCAACCACAACAACCCTCTCCCAAACCAAACAAAACTACACTCACTCGCCTTTCCTATTCTAGCCCCACTCTATGTTGTCGGTCCGGTGTCGATTAGACACCGACTCAAACATCAATTATCACCTTAAAAATTGATATTTCAATCTTCTTCATAGGTGCGGTCAGATTGAGATGACTTATGACGAACAACGTAGAATTCATCCGTTTATCAAATTTCTTTCATATGTGCGATTAAATTGAGATGACTTATGACGAGCATTGTAGGACTTTTCAATTTTCTTTTGAATTTCAGGATGAAAAGAGAAACAGGTCAATGTGAAGAAACGTGATCAACTCATCGAGGCTGCCAAGACCCAATTAGGTTACGGGTTAAGTTCTAAGGTCCGCATTCCAATTCATCTTGAATTTGGATGGTACACTCTTTAGCTTCAATTTTACCCTGTTGTTTACGCATATATCTTTAGTGATTATAGATATCACTAATTCATCATTATCGAGCGTTTCAACGTTAGTTTTTCATTATTTTGAAGTAGTTGAAAATTCCACAATAATCACTTTTTCCCCAATTTTCGTCTCTATATATACAAAATTGCAAAATTTATAGACTTTAACCATGAAAACGAACTTGGTATATAGAGATAAATTACAAATATATGAGTTACCGATACCCTTAAATTAATTATTTATTTTTTCTTAAATTAAAATTAAAAAAAATTGTGACAAAGAATTATCAGAAGAGCAAATAAAGGAGGAAACATGTCAGACATGCAAATGTTTGTTCTGTTGTTGTGAGGTGCACAAGTTGAACACATGAGACATTTATAAACTATTATGCGTAGGGACATTTTTAATAATAAAATCAATTATTTTTAAAAATAATCAATAATTTATTTAATATAATTTACCTCTTCTCCAGAAATAATGCCTACTCCCAGGAGATCTATAAGACATACACGAACACATACTTCACAAGCAATGCATTTATCAAATTCAAAATGGACCGTTTCGTTTTTGTAGGTTGGTCCGGTCTATTGCTAATACTAATTAAATTCTTTAGCATTTAAGCCAAACAAAGTCCTCCTTTTTCATAAAACCACCTCATGCCAAATTAATATTTAAATACAATTAATGATCAAACTCATATATTATACAAAGTTTATAATATAAAATTAAGTTGATTAATTAGTTATTAGGAATTCCATTGAGGGTTTAAACCTCATGCATACTTTTATTTTTAAATATATTCAAATTAACTAAAGAAAGTTCCATAGTAAATGTGTTATAAACCCCAGAAGAAGTACATAATGGAAGCCTCAAAGAGGATAATATCTGTTAGATGAATTTGAGCTATTACAAATTGTAACAGAGCAAAATAACAGACAGTGTACTAGCGAGGATGCTAGTTCCAAGGGGTGGATTATGAAATCCCATGTCGACATTCCTTATAAAAGTATGAAAACCGTTTAAAAATTTTGAAAGGAAGCTTAAAGAAAACAGGTTAGTCGAATCTTAAATATATATATTATTTTGAATTCGTAAGATATTAAGTGGAAAATTTGCATTATTTTAGGGATTATTGGAGAATTGAAAAGGAAAGAAGAAAGTGATGATAGGGAATTTATTGTTGGCTTCTATTTGTAATGAGCGAAACCAAACCAGGCTGTCTTGAATGAGTTTTCTTTATTTGCACAATGATCCCTGTCCACATCACAAATTCACAACTATCCTTCACTTTTCAAAAATTTCTTTTTGTAACCCACAATTTCACACTTTAATTTCACATTTTGGCCCAAAAGCTCTGAAAATGATAATAATGAACTTAAATGTAAAGTTTTTAATTAATGTTAGCTGAATATAGCTCAGCTATTAATAAAAGGAAAATATAGGTATCCTCAAAAGTAACTTTAGTGTAACCATATAATATTTTCTCGGAATTAAAAAAAGCTTATGGATTTGGAATTTATGAACATTTATTTCAATAAAATGGAGTATTATTATAATTTATCCATATTATTTTAAAATTATATCTTGATATTGAAATAGGTTGAATTTTATTTAGCCTAAATTAATAATAAAAAACACTTTGTCTCAAGAATACTTCTTAATCTTAATAACTTTTAATAAAATGTTTAAAATGGTTAAAAAAATATCCATTCGTTTATATTTATAAAAAGAATTTAAAAAAAAAAATTCACTCTCATTATATGGACAAAAACCATACGTCGACACATTATAGATTATCTTCAAATTTTTTAATATTATTTTTGAAATACGGTAATAACGATAAAGATATTTTTGAAATTTTAAAAAAGTTCGAAGGTGATTAGTATTTTTTTTAAAAAAAATTAAGTAGGTTAATGAAACTTTTAAGAATTTAAGGGTATTGTTTAAACAAGATATTAACTATTTCTTTAAAAAAAAAAAAAAAATTAACTTTTTTTTTTTTTTTTTTCTCTTCAGTTTAAAGGTAATTTTTATTTATTTATTTATTTATACCTCAATATTATCTTATTTCATAATATACTAACAAATTTTCCTACTCTCTGGTGTAGACTATGTTAAAATGTACATTAATAAAATACTCATTTGACTTTTGAATTGTCAAATATCAAAACATTATTGTTTTGAGAGTATGCCAAATGCATTAGTTTTTTTTTTTAAAAAAATAATAACAAAATTAAATCAGTTTTTCCATTAATTACCCACAAAAGCTGATGTGGTACTTGTTTTTTATTAAAAAAATAATTTTCTACTTTCTATAATAATTGATTTTTTAATTTTATTATTAGTTTTTTTCTTTCACACCCAATCCATGGCTGCCACTACGACATGTCGTTATCAGCCATCGTCAATATTGTTTTTCTTCTTTTATTAAAAGAAAAAACTATTTTAGAGTTGAAATATTATTGTTATTATTATCACATTAAAAAAAGAAACAAAAAATTCCCACAAAAAGGGGCGATGACTGGTAAGAGTAGATAGAAAAACTTATTTTATTAATTGTAACTTAATTACAAAATATTTGATTAAATCTGACCGTTGAAATCCCAGATCTTGAGGTCATTTAACACCTAATGGCTGTGTTTGGTCAACAAAACAAAGACTTAGGGCATTAGAAAATTAAATAGTTTTTTTCTTTATATTTGATTTGATAGTGGCCACATTTGTAAAATAATAATAATAATAATAATAAAAATATCGTTTATATTTTGTGTACATAATATTTATAAGCTTTAAAAAAATCTTAAAAAAAAAAATTACTTTGTTTTAGTTTTGGATAAAAAATTATCCTTTTAAAAAATGTTATTGAATTTTTAAAATATTTATCAATAATCGGTTAAAAAAATACTTTTATTATTAATATTGTGTTTAAAAGTAGTATGAACACCCAACTTTTTTCTCAACAAAATTTTACCGCTAATATATGAACAAAAAAACGTTTATGGATACTTCGTAGATTATCTTCTTTTTTTAATATTACTTTTTGAGAATTTAATAGTATTTTTGAAATATGGTATCAACCATAAAATTATTTTTTGATTTTTTATTTTTAAATTTAAGAATATAATTAATCAAATGGTTATTTTTTTTAGTTTAATGATATATTTTATACTTTTTTTAATGATTTTATTGAAATTTTAAACAAAATACAATTTTTAATTTTTTTTTTTTTGTTAATTTAGTAAAAAAAAAAGGCACAATTTCTAGCCAATGAATGCGCGCCACGACATCATGATTTCAGTGACGTAATCCATCCCATCAAGTAAATCTATAAACAAAATTCAATTGATACTTTAATATTATATTATCTTCCCAAACTGCCCATCTTTTCCAACAATTAATATTTTTTCTCATTCCATCTCTCAATATTTAGCCAATCTAAGGACATACTTTGAATCAATTTTAAACATCATTAATGAAAATGGGTTAGCGTTACTTCGACTTGTTTATTAGCTACTTTTTATTTATTTATTTATTTAATAATTTGACGGATAAATATTGAGTTCTAAATTGAGTACACTACTAAAACAGTAGTTTATTGGTTTATCTGTATATAATGGGCAACAATTCATATGACCAGAGTTCTTAAATAATTTTTAAACTAGGTTACATATTATTTTTGTTGTGAGAATGGTATAATTGATTGAGAACGAAAAGGCAGAGAAGGACGAGAACAAGAAGTTGGTGAGGAAACATTTTAATTGTGTTGGTGGATAAAAGTAGAGACAACAAGACAAAAAGGGGAATTGGGTTCCATAGAAATTGAATAAAAGAATTTCGAGGAATGGGGCTCAGAATCATTTCATGTCCAAACATTTATGTGTCTCGTATCCATTCGTCGCCTTTTATTTAAATTTAAAATATTTTTCGGTCCCTAAAACATCTCATATTTCATCATTCGAAGAAAAAATAAAAATAAAAATAATTAATTTTGACTCGTAAACTTATAATTTTATCTTTTCTGGTTTGGTTTGAATTAAGAGTAAGGTCCCTTGCACCCAAATAAATAAAAATAAAAATAAAAATAAAAATAAAAACCATTTTTTTCCATGTTAATTACATAAATATTATTTATTAAAAGTAGTTTTATTTTATGGAAGGATTTAATAAGGGTTGGTGTAATTTTCTTGAAAAAAGAAAGTCAATTACCTCTGGTATAAAAGAGTAATTAGATTCCTTTTATGCTTCATTTGACCTATTTTCTAAGAATTTAATAATTAAATTATATATTTAAAAATTAAATTATTTTATAACACAAGGATTAATAAAATTAGGTGGCGCGAAACTAACTGTCTTCCGTGGTCCCTACCTTCTCAAAAGTCCTAAANTTAACCGTTTTTTTTTTTTTTTTTTTTTTTTTGCCCATTAAGTCTGTTTTTTTCTTTTTAATTAATTTTAATTTTCTCTATTTAAAAACCGAGCGCTTTTTCTTCTCTTCTTCCTCTCTTCGAAGTTCTTCGAATATCTAAACTGCGTCAACTCTGCCCGCTGGAAGGCCTTGTACGGCTAAGTCTCTTTTTCAGTTCCTGAAACCATATCGCCTTCGTTTGTTATTTTATTGAAGAAATCGAGCCCTACGGAACTCTCCGATCAAATTTCGCCTAATTTGCTCTGATTTTCAGTTCGAAATTGAATCCTCGAGGAGATTTTCCGATTCGACGCGTGATTGTTCGGGCCGTATCGGTGAGAACTCTGGTCTTGAACACTTTGATTTTCCTTTGTGATGTCTTCGATGTTTAAATTTGCGACTGGTTTTTTTGATTATGTCTTTGCTATTGAGTTCGTTAGTTTGATGATTGTTCGATTCGAACCTTTCAACCAGTTTTTTTTTTTTTTTTTTCCTTCTTTTCTTGAGTAGGTTGAGAGTTGGGAGATACTGTTTTTGTTTTCTATAATAATTTTGAAGTACTTCACTATTTCCTTTCTCGTGGATCATCCGTAAAAGGCGTTAGATCTTTTTATTTATTTTAAATTATAATTACAGAAGTTGCTTTGTCGTGTTTGTATATTCTGAAATTCGAGTATGTCTCATGTGTTCATTTATATTCCTCTCTATGCAACATCTCTGAAACTTCTGTCGATGAGCAGTAGAGGCTCAGGCCGATCTCCAGTATTAGGTGCACGAATCTGTCGAAAATCAGGCATTGATAAGGATTCCTCCTCAAAATCCTTGAAGATTTCATCTGTGTATAACTGCATTTATTCACAGCCGCAGCTGAGTTATGAATGTTATAAAGAGGAGAATAGTAATCAGGATTGTCCAAATGGAAACCGTGTTCTTATCCAACCTTTGCACATAACCATAAATCTTAATTTTGTTTCAATGCGTTTCTACCTCGTGTTGACTTCGGATTGGTATTTATACCCATTTATTACGGCCATGTAAATTCTCAGAACGGACAAAGGTTCTCTTTGCACGTGGACATCCACCATTCTGTGGAGGAAATTAAATATTTCTCACAAGCCAATTGAATGGCGTCTTAGGTCAAATAATGAGAGAAAAAAACATTTGACAGTTGGAGTGAATGATACATTTTCAATTTCATCTGGTCCCGTAGACCTACAAGTATTATTTCTGATACGAAACTTGGGTAATGCGACTTCTTTACTTTTACAAGTGTCGTAATTATTTTTAATGAAAGATCTTTTTGAAGAAAGAAGATGACAGTGAAGCAAATTGGGAGTCGGAATGTACGAAATCTTTCATGTTGTCAGCCCCAACCATCCATGGCCGAATAAGTTCCAGTTCAGTTCCACTTCCCTTATCCTGCAGCGACCTGCAAAAGCCCACACTCTCTATCTCCCCGCCCGGGAGTTTCTGAGGGGACCCCTACTCTGTATATGCAATTTGTGTCGAAGCAGGCCGAATCCAAAGCTGTAAGGATTAGACGTTGATGCAATTTATGGCAGTTCTCCTTTTTTAAGCGGCCCTTTTGTGTGCCCTACCTTGCCCTCGTCTTCCTTGCGGTGGTCTGATCTAACTTGGGTCGAGGGCATTGCTTGATTAGAAACTAATCAATTCGAGTTTTAGTTTTAGTGTTTCAGTTTCAAGTTCGCCATTCGATTAATCTTTTCCTGCTGAAGAACTGTATGTTTGCAAGTTTGTTTATTCGTTTTCAGCTTTCTATTTCTTTACTTTAACGGTGGTTTATTCCTTTCTTTTTAACTGTGCGTTTGTGGTGGCAGATACAACGCAGGGAAAAGGATCTTTCTTTGTGTGAGCACTGTTTTTTTCAGTTTTTGGGGAATGAGAACTGTGTAGTTATGTGAAGAAAACTATCACTATGGTCTAATTTCGATTGTTTGGATGGATGTATGCGAATCGGTGCGGGCATTTAGAAAGCATACAATAGCAGCAGCGACGCCAAGACAACCATTGGTTCCTGCAGAAAAGAACAATGAAGTTATCACACGGTCTCCCTCGCGTTCTAAAAACAAGTCACCTTCTCCTTCATCGTCGTCTGGTCCTCGGCGTTGCCCATCACCAAGCATCACGCGGACGGTTTCTACATCTTCCCAAATGGTTCTTAAAAGAGCCCAATCAGCAGAGAGGAAGCGACCCTCCACACCTCCTTCTCCTCCACGCCCGGCCACACCAATTCATAGTTCACCTGCAGATGTAGAGTTGCTATCGAAAAAAAGGATTGGCGGTCGAGCTGAGAGTTTATGGCCTTCTACGATGAGAAGTTTAGGCGCCTCATTCCAATCTGATACAATTTCTCCTGTTTGTAAGAAGGAAAAACCCGTGTTATCTTCTCACTCTGATCGAACTCTGAGGCCTTCTTCTAATTTCCCATCTAAGCAGGCTGAAACGCAAACTGTTGCACGGAAGCCCACGCCAGAAAGAAAGAAGAGTCCTCTAAGAGGTTTGAATGGACATGATCAATCAGAGAATTTCAAGCCAGTTGATGGGTCGCGGACTCAATTCGTAGATCATCAGAGATGGCGAAGTAGAGTTGGTGCGAAAGCGTCCTCCAATTCATTAAGTTGTAGCGTGGATCTCTCCGATAAAAGGGTCCCAAGCTTAAACAAGCCACTCAGAGGAAGCGGTTTATCTCCTACAAGGGCAATTACGGGCAAGACTATGAACAAACCTTTACAGAAATCGACCAGTGGTGATGTGAGGCTATCTTATGTTGATGGAAGGACTAGGGAAGAGTTTGAGACAACTTCAGCGAATGACAACTCAATGCAGGAATCTGCAGCTAACAAGATGGTTTCTTCAAGTTTAGCAGGCACTAAAATAATAACAAACCGAGTTGTCAGATATGATTCGCCAAGTCTTGGCCCACGTCCATCTTCACCTTCTAAGGCACAAGTATTATCCTCTGTTGCTAGAGGAGTTAGTCCATCTCGATTAAGGCCATCAACTCCACCTTCTCGAGGAATTAGCTCATCACGATCAAGACCTTCAAATTCTACTCAATCCAATGCTTCCACTTCTGTACTTAGTTTCATAGCAGACTTTAAGAAGGGCAAGAAGGCAGCCAGCTGCATAGAAGATGCTCATCAGCTAAGGCTTCTATATAATAGACATTTGCAGTGGAGATGTGCTAATGCACGGGCAGAGGCTGTTATGCGTAATCAGGAGGTGACAGCAGAGGTTGTGTTTTAACGCATGCCAATCTTGCTTGATTATAACCCCTTTATTCACGACAACATGACCATGTGCTCTGTTGGCACGAAACTTGATTACTGTTACTTGCGATTGTGAACAGCCTGAAACTATTTGCTATTCTTGTCACATATTTGCTTGTGCTCAGAAACTGAGTTATATTTCTGACATTCCAACAAGCGGAAGATTTTATTTTGACTTGGGAGTAACTTTTAGGGACATCTTTTGTTTCTTTTATCCAATTAGCATCTTAAGTTGTATGTCGGGCATGTTGCTTGTATACTTGAGTACATGTTAAATATTAACAACTTTTGTGTTCTGTGGTGCAGAGAACTCTTCTTGGCATATGGAATACAACACTAAATCTTTGGGATTCAGTAATCAGAAAACGGATCGATCTCCAACAGCTGAAGCTAGAGCTCAAATTGATCTCAATTATGAATGATCAAGTAATACTATTAATTCTTTGAAAGCCATTATATATCTTAAGCGTACTTTAAATAGCACGGTTCTTTTATACTTTCAGTGCAATACACAGGTTTTTTGTGCAAGTGATGCTCAAATTATATTAGTTAACATTATGCCTAGACAGACCTGAGCCAAAATACTTATGATGGGTGCGACTTAGTTTCTGGAATTGTGCTTGCCAACCCTGGTCTAAGGACTATGAATAAAACCCGGGACTTATGCAATAGGTATTTTGGCACATGGTCTGAACATCAATGTTTCATAGCAATGTATAAAATTTTAGCATAACGTGTCAACGTAGAGTAGCAGAGTAAGGAGCTTGCTTTCTTTCTCCAGCAACGTAGAAGCACAACTAACTGTAGCATGTGTTTTAACAGGGTTAGCTCTTAGGTGGAGTGTTTTCTTTGAGAAAAGTTTTTTTTTTTGGTTAATTTATTCAACCAGAACGCTTCTTGTTCTTTGAATTTGGAGTTATAATTCTCCTCCTACTTGTATTTGAACAACCATTTGCTATATATGCTTCACCAAATTGATATGATTTTTATGTTGCATGTGATTGATGCAGATGAGCTACCTCAATGAATGGGCTGTGCTTGAAAGAAGCCACAATCGATCCCTATCAGGAGTCATAGAGGATTTGGAGTCGAGAACTCTTCGTGTTCCAGTAACTGGAGGAGCAAGAGTATGCTACATTAGCCAGTAGTTTGTTTTAATTATGGGAAGCCGAATATTGGTAACTGACAACAATCTTTTAATTTCAGGCAGATGCTTGTTCTTTAAATGGTGCAATTTGTTCAGCCGTTGGAGTGATGCAGGCAATGGGGTCCTCCATTTGCTCCTTACTCCCAAGGGTATACTTATACAACTCCTTGAATGTCATCAATATTTAGTAGTTTTTTCATCCCATCTCCCATGAAATCAAGAGTCTCTGCAATTATTATGGACATTGACCAATCTTGTCATCTTATAATGCAATTGATGTCCTTACTGCTCGAGAGTAAGAATAGTTCTGATCACAATAGCTAGAGGAGATAAACTTAGTGCTGCAAGTATCTAAACCTTTGCAAACCATCAAAGCCTCTGATTTGGATTTCTCCCTCTACCAGTTAGCATCTTATCCCGTGAGCTCTACATGTTGCGGATATTAATAAAAGTTCATTATATCTATCATCTGCTTGATGATTGTCATGAATCAATTATCTGGAAACTTCAGTGATGTATTTTAAGAAATTTGGGTCGTTGAAAATCGAATTTATTGAATTGATTGCTGATGTTTGGATGGGCAATATTTAGATATCTATAGCTGTTTATATGGTTGCGAGATTCAATGCTTTTTTGTCTGCAGTTCTAGTTCTGCTATTCATCGTTGGCTTATTTGTTTTTCAGGTGGAGGTAATGCAGACGTTGGTTTTTGAACTTACTATTGTCGCATCCCAAGAAAAAGCTATGCTTGATGAATGTGTAGCATTGTTGGCTTCAACAGCGGCTTTTCAGGTGAGGATGATATTTAGCACACTTGAATCTACTACTTTCCAAGTAAGCATAGAATTAAGTAAGAGTACCCAATTTGAAAGCAGGTCCAGGAACAGAGTTTGTGGACGCATCTCATACAAATGAAACAAGGACTGGACAAGTGCTGCGAGTTTTAGGCGGTTAAAAGCAAGCTTCCTAACCTGACTGGCCCAGCTAGGCTAAGCAAGCTAACAACAAGACCCATACATTTCTATTTGTCACCTCACTGAAAATGAGTTATTTCATGAGTCTTCCCCCGCATGTAAATTCATTTTTTAAATTCATAGCGGGAGTTTGTAGCTGTAAATATTTTCCAATTTTAATCTATTTTATCATTTGAAAATTTTGTTCAAGCTTACACAATTCTTCCATTGCAAGAGCTCTCTGGCTTATTCTTTCAGCCTGCAACTTTATTTATGCTAACCAATTACCACACAAAAGCAAACTAATGGAGATGGCAGAGAAGCTGAAGGGTCATCGTGCATGGTAGAGAGCCGATGTCAGGAATACAAATGGAAGAAAATGGAAGAAAGAGAAGTTGTGCATATTTCAATTCAGGTTCGGTTCTATTTCCATATATATAGTTATCACGAACACGACTCTTTATAATAGTATGATATTATCCACTTTGAGTATAAGCTTTCATGAATTTACTTTGGGTTTCCTTAAAAAGCCGCGTACCAATAGAAAGATTATTCTTTGATTATAAACTCATAATCATTCTCTAAATTAGTCGATCCTCCAACCAAATCTATTCTTCCCTAAATTTAAGTCTTTGAACTGAAATGATGCTCATCTCGTCACTTGGGGATTCAGAGTAGAGAAATGAGTAGGGGATTTTGTAAGAGAGTGGAAAGGAAGAATCAAGAATTGTGTGGAGATAGGAAGAATATGTTGACCGTTGAGACACGTGCGATGGGGGAAGAATCATAATTGTCATTTGTCACCGATTCTCCTTCTGGCGCGAACCCAACCGCCAAGCCCACCGTTTGACACTTGAACTTCAATTTCCTATAATACCCCTACCTCCCCATCCTAATTTCATCTTTACCCAATCCTGTTGTCTAATTTGGCCAAAAAGAAAAAGAAAAAAAAAATCAACTGTTAAATAAAATTTAAAATCATACAATTTTTTTTGAAACGATAAAATAATTATTAAAATCTAATGTAATTAAAATTTAAAACTTTTATTATAACATGATTAAGTCAGTTTTAGTTTTATTTAGTTTTGACATAAGTCGTCCGTAAATTGCTCTAAAACAATTTCAAGAAGATTAAATTTTTTGAAACTTTTTATAAACAATAAAAGTATCATTTTAATGAAAAATAAAAAAATTGAAGAGGACTTATAATTACCATCTTAATAATTAAGGGCAGAAACGTAAAATGCATGTAATTGAGCCCTGATTTGCGAAGGATCCTTATTTACCCGCCAACTGGAACGTAACTGGAATTCTCCGGAACACTCCCGCACTCTTCCGGTTCTGGTACTCTCTTCTTCCTTCCCCCCCTCGGAGCTAAATTTCTGGACCTTTCTCTTCAAACCCTATAAATTTCTCTCCCTCTCGCACTGATCTTCAACTCATATTTCTGTTCAAAGCTTACTCAATCCAGAAAAAGCTCTCTGAAACTCTGTTCCTTTCATTTACACAACGCTCTACTTTTTGTTATTCGATCACCAGTGAAGAAGCTTTCCGGCTATGGCAGCAAAAACTGAAGGTAAAGCCATAGGCATCGACCTCGGCACCACCTACAGCTGCGTCGGGGTTTGGCTGAACGATCGCGTCGAGATTATCCCCAACGATCAAGGTAACCGAACCACACCCTCTTATGTAGCTTTCACTGACACTGAGCGTTTGATCGGTGATGCGGCCAAGAATCAGGTCGCTATGAACCCTCAGAACACCGTCTTCGACGCCAAACGATTGATCGGCCGGCGACTCTCCGATCCCTCTGTTCAGAGTGACATGAAGCTCTGGCCATTCAAAGTGGTCGCCGGACCCGGCGAAAAGCCGATGATCATCGTCAATTACAAAGGCGAGGAGAAGCAGTTCGCTCCGGAGGAGATTTCTTCTATGGTTTTGATTAAGATGAGAGAAATCGCCGAAGCTTTTCTAGGCCAAACTATCAAGAACGCCGTTATTACAGTCCCTGCTTATTTCAACGATTCACAGAGACAAGCGACGAAAGATGCGGGTGCCATTGCTGGACTCAACGTGTTGCGTATCATCAATGAACCAACGGCGGCTGCGATTGCATATGGTCTGGATAAAAAGGCTTCTCGTAGAGGCGAACAGAACGTTCTGATCTTCGACCTCGGCGGCGGAACTTTCGACGTGTCACTCTTGACCATAGAAGAGGGAATTTTCGAGGTCAAGGCCACCGCCGGCGATACTCATCTCGGTGGCGAAGATTTCGACAACAGGCTCGTAAATCACTTCGTGACAGAGTTCAAGCGCAAGAACAAGAAAGACATAAGCGGCAACGCGAGGGCACTGAGGAGATTGAGGACGGCCTGTGAGCGAGCCAAAAGAGCGCTCTCGTCGACAACGCAAACCACGATTGAAGTCGATTCGCTTTACGAAGGGATTGACTTCTACGCGACAATTACAAGGGCTAGATTTGAGGAATTGTGTATGGATATGTTCATGAAGTGCATGGAGCCTGTGGAGAAATGTATCCGTGATGCTAAAATTGACAAGAGCCAAGTTCATGAGGTTGTTTTAGTCGGTGGATCCACTAGAATTCCCAAAGTGCAACAGCTTCTGCAGGATTACTTCAATGGAAAGGAGCTCTGTAAAAGTATCAACCCGGATGAGGCCGTTGCTTATGGTGCTGCTGTTCAGGTAACTTTTCTTTCTCCCCCAATTTAGTCCTTGAAATAAAATTAACTGAAATTGTTCTTAATTGCTCTTAATTGTTCATGCTGAAAAAGTATACTCGGTTAGTCGCAATTTTATTATGAATTTGAGTTTGTTGTTTATGAGTTCGTACGAATTTGCTACCAAACCAGCTAATATGGACTTATCTCCATGGCGTGTACAGGCTGCAATTCTAAGTGGGGAAGGAGACGAGAAAGTTCAAGATCTGCTACTTCTCGATGTCACGCCGCTCAGTCTCGGTCTAGAGACGGCCGGTGGCGTCATGACAGTCCTAATTCCTAGGAACACAACAATTCCAACAAAGAAGGAACAAATTTTTTCGACATACTCAGACAACCAGCCAGGAGTTTTGATCCAAGTCTACGAAGGAGAGCGAGCCAGAACTAAAGACAACAATCTACTCGGAAAGTTCGAGCTCACCGGCATTCCTCCAGCACCCAGAGGCGTCCCCCAAATCAATGTCGTATTCGACATCGATGCAAATGGCATTCTCAACGTATCAGCAGAGGACAAGACAGCAGGGGTGAAGAACAAGATCACAATCACCAACGACAAGGGGCGAATGAGCAAGGACGAGATAGAGAGGCTGGTGAAGGAGGCAGAGAAGTACAAAGCAGAGGATGAAGAGGTGAAGAAGAAGGTGGAGGCGAAGAATGCGTTAGAGAATTATGCTTACAACATGAGGAATACTGTGAGGGATGAGAAATTTGCAGGGAAATTGAATCCAGATGATAAGCAGAAGATCGAGAAATCCGTGGAGGACACCATCGAGTGGTTGGATAGGAACCAGCTGGCGGAGGTTGATGAACTTGACGACAAGCTGAAGGAGCTCGAGGGTGTCTGTAATCCCATCATTGCTAAGATGTACCAGGGCGGTGCTGGCGGCGGTGCTCCTATGGGCGATGATATGCCTGGTGGTGGGTCCGCCGGGTCTGGCGGTGCTGGGCCGAAGATCGAGGAGGTTGATTGAGGAGGCTGTCTGTAGTTTTTGAAGTTCTCAAGTAGAGGTTGATGAAGTTCTCAAGTAGAGGTTTGAGTGTGTAATGTTCTTTTGTTGTTTTTTTCTTTCTTTCTTTTTTTTTTTTTTCTGGGAAAAATAGAGAAAGGTTGTGTTTGTAATAAAAATTATGAGTGCTCTTTTCTTAAGAATTTAAGGAACTTTTTACCTTCAAAATAGCAAAAAAAAAAAAAAAAAAAAAAAAAAAAAAAAAAAAAAAAAAAAAAAAAAAAAGNTTTTTTTTTTTTTTTTTTTTTTTTTAATTACCAAAATCAAAATCCTATGAAAATTTGAACATGTATTCTCATAGATAGATATGTAGGAAAGTTGTTAAAGAGATGGGAAAATTTTGAAGTTAATCAGTCAAGAAGCGGATGGAGAGACTACAACTTCCTTACCTAACGATTTGAAATTGTTTTGGGGTTGTTCTTGCATTTTAAGCATCAGCTGCTTGCATTCTAAGCATACATACTCTCTCAGCTTTTTCCCACCACCTCTTCTCATGCCAAACATCGTCTTCGTTTTTCACCTTCCATTCTTTATGGGAATCACAAAAATAAACCCTAATATTCACTTACACTCTTAAGATTCTTAATTTAGAGGATGATTTGCTGAATTAAACGAAGGCTTAACTTCATTAAAACCAGACATGATCAAGTTTACTAATGAAAGGAGAAAACGAACACAATGATACCTGGATGGTTGGGATGGCAAAGGAAGTAGAAGAGAGGTCCTTGGCGGTTGAACAGTGAAGGGGAGGAAACTTAACTTCAAGGCAAGACGGGACTTTGACACAGCAACCAACTCACCACCCATTACATGGACACATTAGGTGAAGAAGACAGTTCAATATCTCATGCCACCCTTTTCCTCCTTCTCTACCTTTCTCCTTCATAAAACACCTTCCTTGCTCCAAACTCTCATCCTTCTCTGAACACCTAGTCTCTGTCGATCGCCAGCCATGGAAGCCAGCGCTGGACTTGTCGCTGGGTCTCACAATCGCAATGAGCTTGTTGTCATTCATGGCCATGAGGAGGTACTTAACTTATTCTGAAAGTCAGTGTGTGCAAGTTTTGGTTTGTGCGTTTGTGGCTGATCTGGTTGTTTTTGTTTTGTTTTGTTCTGTTCTGTTCTTTTTTTTCTTCTTCAGCCAAAGCCGTTGAAGAACTTGGACGGTCAAGTTTGTGAGATCTGTGGTGATGAAGTGGGGCTTACTGTGGATGGTGATCTGTTTGTTGCTTGCAATGAATGTGGTTTTCCAGTCTGCAGACCCTGCTATGAGTATGAACGAAGAGAAGGAAGCCAACTCTGCCCTCAGTGTAAAACTAGATATAAGAGACTCAAAGGTAAGGCACAGAACAAAGCAATAACTAGTTTCATCTTCACTTTTTTTCTTAAACTCTCTTTTTGGGTAATGTGAAGGGAGTCCAAGGGTCGAGGGAGACGACGATGAAGAAGACATAGATGACATTGAACATGAGTTCAACATTGATGATGAAAGGAACAACCACAGTCATCTGGCAGAAGCTATGCTTCATGGCAAGATGAGCTATGGTAGAGGCCTTGATGATGATGAAAATGCACAGTATGGAAGAACACAGCCAGTGAGTGGGCGAAACTTTCATTCTCGAGTCTCAGTGGAACTTTTTTCCTAGTTAACATTAGATTTATAACCAAGCATCTCATGCATATGCAGGTAAATGGTGAGCTTCCTTTATCTTCTCAAGGTTATGGAGAGCAGATGTTGTCTTCTTCGCTGCACAAACGTGTGCATCCATATCCGGTTTCTGAACCAGGTAAATCTTCTCAACCCCATTGTTTTTGCATTAAATTGATGAGGACTTTGATCTCTCTCCTTTAAGCTACATGAAGTTTGTTTTCAAAAAAATCAGGGAGTGCAAGATGGGATGAAAAGAGAGAAGGTTGGAAAGATAGAATGGATGATTGGAAATTGCAGCAAGGCAATCTTGGACCTGAACCTGATGATGCCAATGACCCTGACATGGCTATGTATGCTTGAAAATTTTGACAATGCCTGCCTTCCTAATTCGGATGTTTTAAACTTTCACTCGAGGAAGTCTATGTATTAACTTGTAAACTGTTGCAGGAATGATGCAGCTAGACAGCCATTATCAAGGAAGGTACCAATAGCATCAAGCAAAATTAATCCTTACCGGATGGTTATTGTGGCCCGGCTCGTTATTCTCGCCTTCTTCCTTCGTTATCGGATTCTAAATCCAGTGCATGATGCATTGGGTTTGTGGCTAACTTCTGTGATATGTGAAATCTGGTTTGCATTTTCATGGATCCTCGATCAGTTCCCCAAATGGTTCCCAATTGATCGTGAAACCTACTTGGATCGTCTAACTCTAAGGTAATATCAATTCTAGACAAGGAAGAAGGAAAAAAAGAAACTTTGTTAGTCGAATATGTATAAAAGTTCAGAATATAATCATCGGAGATACTCATGGATGTTGTAATGTAGATATGAACGAGAGGATGAACCTAATTTGCTTGCTCCAGTAGACATCTTCGTCAGTACTGTAGATCCGATGAAGGAACCTCCTCTTGTAACAGCTAACACAATCTTATCTATCTTGGCCATGGACTATCCAGTTGATAAGGTTTCATGCTATGTTTCGGACGATGGAGCGTCCATGCTTACCTTTGAAGCAATGTCTGAAACTGCAGAATTTGCAAGGAAATGGGTCCCTTTTTGTAAGAAGTTCTCCATAGAACCACGAGCACCTGAAATGTACTTTTGTGAGAAGATTGATTATCTCAAGGATAAAGTCCAACCAACATTTGTAAAGGAGCGTCGAGCAATGAAGGTATGCAATTTTCACAAATACATTGAAAAAGAGGTACATATAGGAGTTTTACAATATGTGCTCAATATCAAGCTGGAAACATTTTTTGATTCGTGTAGAGAGAGTATGAAGAATTCAAGGTCAGAATAAATGCTCAAGTAGCGAAAGCCATGAAAGTTCCCACGGAGGGATGGATAATGCAAGATGGAACACCATGGCCAGGCAACAACACAAAAGATCATCCCGGTATGATCCAAGTTTTTCTAGGTCACAGTGGAGGCCTTGATGCCGAAGGGAATGAACTCCCCCGCCTAGTTTATGTATCTCGTGAGAAAAGACCAGGTTTCCAGCATCACAAGAAAGCCGGTGCCATGAATTCCTTGGTAACTTGCTCGGTCAAGTTTCTCTCCTTCCCAACCCCAGTCTGTTCCTTTTCCTTTATCTAATCCCCAACATTTTGTACAATTGTAGATTCGTGTCTCTGCAGTGCTTACAAATGCTCCATTCATGTTGAACTTGGATTGTGATCACTACATAAACAATAGCAAAGCAGCACGAGAAGCCATGTGTTTCCTTATGGACCCTCAAGTTGGAAAGAAAGTCTGTTATGTGCAATTTCCACAAAGATTCGATGGAATAGATAGGCATGATCGTTATGCCAACAGAAACACAGTCTTCTTTGATGTAAAGACCCCATCTCTGAAATTTTATATATATTTTCTCAAGTGACTAAACTAAGCTAAGAACCGTAAAAATGAACTATTTTCTTTGTGATGCAGATTAACATGCGAGGTTTAGATGGAATTCAGGGACCCGTATATGTTGGCACAGGCTGCGTCTTTAGGAGGCAAGCTTTATATGGTTATGAACCCCCAAAAGGTCCTAAGCGCCCAAAAATGGTAAGCTGCGATTGTTGTCCATGCTTTGGACGTCGCAAGAAGCTTAAGAGCTCTAAAAGTGGGGTAGATGAAGATGCTGCAGGTGAGTTTTTTTCAAACTTCCAACTTTTTGGTTCTTGTGTCTTGGTGGATACTTTGCCATCAGATAGTGATAACTCATATTTATTCTCTTGCTGCTATATGCGTAGTGATGGAAGATGACAAGGAGCTACTGATGTCGCAAATGAATTTTGAAAAGAAATTTGGACACTCATCAATTTTTGTTACCTCAACTTTGATGGAAGAAGGCGGTGTTCCACCCTCCTCCGGTCCAGCAGCCCTGCTTAAGGAAGCAATTCATGTTATCAGTTGTGGTTATGAAGACAAAACCGAATGGGGTACCGAGGTAATGTCGACCACCCTCCTCCTTTTAGTTCATACGAACACCTAAATCAAACAAAAAGTTATTGTCAGATGTGGTCTAGAGATAGGTCGACTTGGAACTGAAACTAGTGTCATGTTTGTGAATGCAGCTGGGCTGGATTTACGGTTCTATCACAGAAGATATTCTAACAGGTTTCAAAATGCATTGTCGTGGCTGGAGATCTATATACTGCATGCCAAAGAGACCTGCATTTAAGGGTACAGCTCCCATCAATTTGTCTGATCGGCTGAACCAGGTGCTTCGGTGGGCGCTCGGGTCCATTGAAATTTTTTTCAGCAACCACTGCCCTGTTTGGTATGGCTATAAGGGTGGAAAGCTAAAGTGGCTAGAGAGATTTGCATATGTCAACACCACTGTCTACCCCTTCACTTCAATACCACTTCTTGCCTACTGTACCCTCCCTGCAATCTGCCTGCTTACGGATAAGTTTATCATGCCACCGGTAAATATAGTAACATTTACATTATCGCCTACAAAAGATGATTTAAGCAGAAAATATATTGGAAGTGGAAATTTGAAACTTACAGTTATATTGTTTGAAAAATTAATTGGCCATCAGCCCCGGTCCAGCACACGAACTAATTAAACTTTTACTTTCTACATTGTTTCTGGCAAGGTATTTTGCATCCACTGATGAATTTCTCTTTGGCTTTTGGACAAACAGATCAGCACATTTGCAAGTTTCTATTTCATTGCATTGTTTCTTTCCATTTTTGCTACGGGTATTCTTGAACTTAAATGGAGTGGAGTTAGCATTGAGGAATGGTGGAGAAATGAGCAGTTCTGGGTCATTGGTGGTATTTCAGCTCATCTATTTGCTGTTGTACAAGGTCTATTGAAGGTTTTGGCTGGAATTGATACTAGCTTCACAGTTACATCCAAGGCAACAGATGACGAAGACTTTGGAGAATTATATGCCTTCAAATGGACCACTCTGCTAATCCCTCCCACAACTATTTTGATCATCAACCTTGTTGGTGTTGTTGCAGGCATCTCAGATGCCATAAATAATGGCTATCAATCATGGGGACCTCTATTTGGGAAGCTTTTCTTTGCCTTCTGGGTGATTGTTCATCTCTACCCATTCCTTAAGGGTTTGATGGGCCGACAAAACCGCACACCGACTATAGTCGTCATATGGTCGGTGCTGTTGGCTTCAATCTTCTCCTTGCTTTGGGTCCGAATTGATCCGTTTGTGATGAAAACAAAGGGACCTGATACAAAGCAATGTGGACTAAATTGCTGAAATACTTCCTCTCTTTCTTCTTATTTGTGTGTGCATCACCAGAAGATTCATGTGCATATCCAGGAGATTCATATGCATGGACATTGTACTTAGAATATGTGAAGCACAAGAATTAATAAAAGTAAGAGTGAAATTTTTGTGTAGTATGACAACGTGTCTAGCTTGAGAACAAATGAAGATGATGTGTTTGTTTACTTCAGTTTGTGTACACAAAACAGAGTGTTTCATTTAGAAAATTATAGTATTGTACTTGTACCTTCATCACCTTGTCCATTGAGAAAAGTAAACAATATAGAAAGCAAGATTCCCCTGATTCAACCTATTAGAAATTTTAGAATTTTGTTTATCTTCTTTTGATAGAAAACTAGACTCTTTATAGATTCTAGAATAATAGAATATTGAACAGTATAGAAATCAAAACTGATCAACAGCTTCATGCAAGAAAAAAGGAAAACGAAAGGTTAGGAAAAAAAATTATACA